ACACACACACACACACACACACACACACACACACACACACAGCAAGCAGTCAAATTCTGCAACCCAGTTTACTTGGCTATTATTAGATTTTCCCTTCAGTAGTTGTGAATCAATACACTCCATGCTGTTTTTCCACAATCTTACCTCCCTCTGGGGTTTTGAAGTTGACGGGATGACTGCCTGGGCCGTTGCCCCGCCCGTTGAAGGTCATGACGATGAGGCTGTACTCGGAGAAGGGCGTCAGAATTGGTACCGTGGCGTGGTTCTTATCCCCGGGGACTGCCAGCGTGTGTTTATCTCCGGGACTTTTCTTTGAGTCCACCAGACTGCGCAGACGCCACCAACTTATCTACATCAGGAAGGAGGCACACAGAGACATCCTCAGCAGTGCCTACAAGATATCAAACTTTGAACATCATACATATGTACATGTGTGAAGGAATGCTGACTGAGTTAGTGTGATTTTTTTTTCCTGGTGCTGTAAGCAAGAAAACATTGAGCTGGACACCAGTAAAGGAGACAGAGTGAGGTGAGAGAAGCAAATGTTTAGAGCAAGGTCAGTGCCATTCCTTTTAAACTGTGTCTAAAAGCAAAGGTCTGGTTTTGAGGTATTACCCTGTAGCCTCCCAGATGTCCATGTAACTTGTCCTTGTGTACTCGTGTCCAGCTAACCTTGACCACGGAGCTGTTCATCACCTCCACAGCTACATCATCAGGTGCAGCAGAGGGAACTGCAAAGGCAAACACACATTATAATCTACAATAGGCTGCAAGTGAGGGAAGGAAAAACAAACCCAAACAACACAAAAATACAAAGTACTACTCGGCTTGCTTACATTTAGGGATCACTGATTTACTGGAACACCTACGAGGAGGGAACTCTACTTGGAGTCACAAAAAAATGAAAAAACAAACAAAAAACAAAAACAAGTGCTACATTTCCTAAAATCCCATTTTACTCAGGACACAGCAGTGAGAAAGTGTCATGACCTGAGGTGACCTCCTGAGGACAAATCCAAAAGAAAGCTAAACAAAAGAAAAGGAGTAAAAAGTACGGTACATGGTGCTTTCTTCTTCTAGCACACTGAAAAGAAGGATTTTCAAGAAAATAAAAAAACCTTGTTTATGAACATGTTTTCTTATTTTTTGTCTAAAAAGAAAACATTCCTAACAAGCAAGTTTTGCACAACTGCACAAAATTAAACTCATTCTAGGAAAATATGTCCAACGTTTTCTTAAGATATTTCAGCTCATCTTGAGCTTTCAGTTACAGGATATGACAATGGTTTGGCTGAAATTCCAGAAAGAGAATAAGATTATTTTTCTCTTATTTCAAGAGTAAGGGCACTCAAAACAACTTTTCAATTTTACGCATTTAAAGATGCCAGTTTAGCTCAATGCGTTCAGCATGCGCTCACATGCTGCATGGCTGAGAGTGGCAAGCCTGGGTCTGACCCTCGGCCTGGTTAGGTGGCTAGACAACCTAGCAAAAATTCTTTCCATGTTTAGCATAAAGCTAACAAAGGCCAAAAAAGTGAAAGTTTTTGCCAAAGGTCATGTGGGCACAAGCAAAATGAAAAAAATGTTTAAATGTTCTGAGGTTTAGAACATTTAAACATGTTCATTTTTTCTTTTCTGTTTAGCTTTGAACAAACTGCAGCAAAAGCCAGCTTATTTTTCCCAACTTTTCTTTTTAGAAGGGCATTTTTAGCCATGCCATGTGTGTTTGTATTTACCAAAACAATAACTTTAAAAAAAACTGCTCCACAGAGAGGAGGACGGCTGCAGTAATATTTATTTGCTAGGAAGTAAATTCAAACTCCCCTTTCCCATAACATATTCTCATTTTATTGTGAATACTGAAAAAAAAATTAACTTATACTCACAGTCCTCTCCTGAATAGCCAGTCACTAACTTGGGCTCAGGTCCAAAGCCCTGACGATTCTTGGCTTGGATCTTTATTTCGTAGGGAACAAAAGTTGGGGTGTTCTTCACCACGAATGAGTGTCTCTTCACTGTGTTCTCCTTCCAGTCTTCTTCCACATCTTGTCGTCTGTAACTCACCTTGTACTCCAAGCCGGGACCATTGTGCTCAATTGGTAACAGGGGCTGTATCGTAGCAGGAAAAGAAAGAATGGAGTGGGTTTCACTGAGACTTTCACAGTTGCGTAAGATACTTGTTATATTTCACCACGCTATGTCACTCCTTCCATAGGGAAAAAAAATGACTTGTCCGGTGAACATTGCTTGGAACAATGCTTTATCCCACCATCTAATAAAACAATGGAACAATTGACCTGGTCTAGCAGCAAGGCTTTTCTTTGATATAGTGCTTGCTGAGACTTTATAGATGAAAAGATTCATCTCGTCACAGAAGTCAGACCGTGAGAAATAGAATGAGATACCATTATCCACAAAAGCAAATCATTAACAGTAGGAGAGCTCATGAATCCAGGATTCAGGGGCTACATTACCATGACGGGGCAACCGGATAATAAGTGAAGGAGAGATTCATCTTTCTACAATAAAGGCCAATATATGACTGTGAGTGTTAAAAAGAAATTTTTTATCTTCATAGCTTTCCTTTCTCTTTCTAATCAAAGACAGAGAGCAGCCTTGAATGAGGAACTCATTCATGGACATTCCAGAAAAGGGCTTCTTTAAAGATCTCTAGAGTGAAATATCATAAATGGGCCATTTCTGTTTCTTTAATTCCTATTGGTAATAGCCTATGAAACATTGATAAAACTTTATCTCTGTTCTCAGAAATTCTTTGACTGCTCAAAACTATAACGATAGGAATAATGTGCTACGTAAAGGTAGGCCACGTCGCAGAACTTGCAGAAAGAAGATAATAAAAAAGACCAAAGTCTATTTCTTACCTCCCATTTGATATCCATTTCATGTGGCAAATGACCTTCGATTCTGATATTTTCAGGGTTCCTGTCAGGGGCTGTGGAGGAAAAGGAGTATAGATTTTGTCAGCATTGCTAGTGGAAGAAATCTCCAGTGAACGAGGCACACGAGAAAGCAGAGTTTCAACAAGAATGGAATCAATTATGTAGCAGGTCTGAGTGTTTTAAAGTTCACAGAGCAGCAGCGTATCAAGTGGGCTGGAAGACCCTAACAAAAGGTACTACTGGTAAATACTGAGCGATGAAAGGAGGAAACTCAGACCTTCTGGAGGAGTTTTGTATCTCTCTGTGGCCTCGCTAGGACGCCCGGTTCCCACAGCGTTCACGGCGGACACTCGGAAGCAATAGTCGACATTGCCGTTGAGCTTGAGCTCAGCAGAGTTGCGGTTCCCAGGTACTCGGAGCAGCTCCTTCCAGTTGCTTGGTTCCCAGTGGCTCTCCTCGTACTCGATAATAAACTCTGTTGACAGGCATAGAGACAATCAGAGGTCTCCCTCACCGCTATGAATCCTGCCAAAGGATTACTTATCTAACCACCAGCTGTGCAGAAAACGCCTCAAACCCTGCTCTGGGCTTGTACATTCCTCAGGGAGACTAATCATGATTCATGCTTGGATGAACCAATAATGGATTCATATTGTACAAGATGGTATCAAACAAATCTATTTACATGCAGGATGCTGCTCAGGAATGTGTCTGTCATATTAATGGCATTCGCTACGAGATGCACTGATCCTCTCTGCGCTGTATGTCCTGACACCTGCACACATGGATGCTCCTTTTTACCTGTGGTTGAGCTGTTGTGGTCGTCCCCGGGGACCCATTTCAGCGTCACATTTCTGCCCTTGCGGTCAGACAGTACCAAGTTCTCCGGCGCATCGGGGACATCTGAAAATCATTGTAACGGCACGGCTTTTAGAAAAAGAAAAAGAAAATCACAGGGACACAAGATCTCTGCAGCAAGAAAAAGACCCGGGGAGCAAACGTTCAATCGTTCCCGGGAGTCAGAGGATGTGGGACCAGCTGCATCGCTGTGCTGCCCGTCACTGTTTTCTTTAGACTTTAACATGTCGACAACATCTTCAAAGAAGCTGTGCTAATAAAGCCACGGTCTGCACCTTCATGCTCTGCGCTTGGCTTCCTGACATTTTGTGGCCTTCTTGAATTTGCTGCGCATTAATGTAGCACCAGGGTGCTCTGAACTTTTGACCCCCGAAGCAGCGCTCACACGTAAGCTCACCTAACACCATGAGGAGGGCTGAGGCCACGTCTTGGTCCGCTGGAGTTTTTGCCACACATGTGTACACACCCTGGTCACTGTGGCTCACATTCATGATGTGAAAAACACCGTTCTCCACAAAGTATCTGTCGGTAGAAACATGGAGACGGGGTATTGATTTACCAAAGGAAAAGGGCTTTTCAGCTGGGATTAGGTCTGCAGTGCTGTTTCACCAAATAAATAAATAAAAAATTCTACCTTGAATTCTCAGTGTAGTTGAGGGCTATCTCCATATCATCTTTTTCCCACAGGAGCTCAAAGTCATTGCTGAAGGACTTGTCGTACTCCGCCAGGCATGAGAGCTGGGCCGTGGTACCTATTAGGATCCGCTGGTCCGCCGGGGCCACTACTATTCGAGTGGGATCTTCCAAAGGAAGGACCAAGTTACTTACATTTTGAGGCCCGTGTGAGGCTTAACACAATTCTTTTAAATGACTAAAACAGTTTACCTTTTACATAAAGCATGGCATTGATAGCAGATGATCCCTCTGTGTTTTTGGCCAAACACGTGTACTGTCCTGTGTCACCCCTCTCCACATTGTAGATCTTCAGTGACCCGTTTTCATGAACAGTAAACCTGGGTCCATGAACAGATTCAGGGGAGTCGTCTTTGCTCCTGGAGAACATGCAAAAGTTGTCAGAGGGGAGAAAAATAAATGCAAATACAGGTGGTCTACACTACTACACTATGGCAGCAGTGAAGCGATAAAAGCAGGACATCAGAGCTGAGTGACAGGGCTACTTCAGCTTGATTTGAAGAAATAGCAGGTCGTGGGTAATGAAACAGCCAGTATACTGAGGGAGTGCACGCATCGACCAGCTGAGATCTACTGCCCTCTGCTGGTAAAAAAAGCTACACTTACCAAGTGATTGTAGAAGGAGGAGAGCTGAAGACCTTGCAGTGCATCGTCACTCCCTTCCTCTCCACAACAGAGTATTCCTCCCCCTCACTTGTTAAAATCATGGGCTGCAGATCTGCAAAAACCAGCAGGAGACGCTCATCATAACATCGTAACAGTGCTGTTAGAAAAGCACAATATATTTCTTTCACCGTGGAGGAAATGGCTTCGACAAAAAAAACCCAAAAAAACCCCCACACAGCTAGATTAGGTTTTAAAAGCTGATAAAACAGGAATGGAAATAGGCAGATAACTGCAGGTTAAATGAGGTGACAACAGTGTTGCTTTACTTGTGCATTAACTATGAGCTTGTTGTGTTTTTAAAAAGGAAAAAGAAAGAAGAAAATAAAAAAAACGATTGAGCTGTCAGGTTGTCAGAAATGAGCAAATGTGAGAAAGAAATCAAAGCTGAAAACAATGGAATAATGAGTTCGCTGAGTGTGTGCACCTTATCAGTTGTAGCCAAAGCCTCCCATTAAAACGCTCTGTCTCTACTAATTGTTTACAAAGGCAGCAACTGGGACTCAGCATTCAGAGACTGTCCAGCTTTATTAACTCCTGTGTCACCAAGAAGCAACTCCCCACATTTGAGCTGCACAACAGATTTTTTTTTTTAATCTGCTCTTGTAAAGCAGCACATGTTTGTCTTGTGGCACTCGAATTGGTATGGAATTGAGAAGGGACTTGTTAGCATATAAATGGTAGGGAACAGGGCTTGTAGCTCCACAGGGAGAACGGCCATCCTGAATGAAGGAATACAGCTTGCAGACAGCTCTCCTTCCCTGGGCTCCTCACTGTTTTATGGGCATATGCCAGCATCAGCGGCAGCTCTCGAGCTTGACACATCAGTCAGCGATCTCTCTGTGTCTCACAAGGAAGTCTGAACCTTATTCATGTACGCTGCGACACAAATACTTTGTATGGATGGTATTTTCATAGACCTCGGATGGTGAAGCAGAATTTAATAAAACTGTGGCTCGCTGATATACTTACTCATGATCATGATGTTTGCATTGGACAGAATGGTTCCGTGTCTATTGGAGGCCTCACACTGATAGACAGCACTGTCAGAAACTTGGGCATTATGTATAACTATGGTGTCACCAATTACCCTCCTGTTTCGTGCTGGGGACTCTGGAATAATACAAAGGTACACTCAGTGAACACAAAGTTTTAAACCAGCACAATTAAAAAAAATCTATATGCTAAGCTGAAATTCCCAAATTAACTAACATCAAAAGAATGTGAAGCAACAATCACTTTGATTTTAAGTCTAAAACATCTGTGTGTTTGTTGTGTTAAAGTGATGTCGGCTGAAGTTGACCTAGGACCTGGCCACACTTTGGTGTACTACCAATCTGTACCAAAAGATGGAGCAGCAAACCAACGTAAACTTCTGTTTCAACCAGTTTTACCCTGGAAATCGGGCACATGCAATCATACAAACTCAGATGTTGGAGTTGAGGTGTGGTATCTTTAGTGCGTTACAGAAAAAGTGAGAAAAAACAGGAATTTTTTGGGTTCTTAAGCTAATTAATCACTAAAATCTTTAATCAAAACAGATCTCAACAGATCACATTCATCATCCTTGTAGTATATATAAATATTTAATCATAAATATATGTTCTCTCTATTTTCAATTTTAAATGAGAAACTTAAATCATTTTATAATTTCATTGAAAAATACTTTGCTACGCGTCCATGCAGTACCTTGACGCCCCCACCAGGGGCCTTTTACACTAAATCCCAGTGAACTAACTGGGTACTACAATTGGTTTTATTGGTTGTTTGCTTTTTTGGATGCTTTTTAGGGGGGTTGTATTGCAATGTTTAAAGTACCTGTGCACAATTTGAACAGAGACTAGAGGCTTCACACTAACAGTTAACACTGCAGCTAACGTAGCCCTAAGCCTCTAACTAGATTTGTTATAATAAACTTTCCCCGGCTGTCAGGGATTTAAGTGACTTCATATTTTGGTTTTTGAGGCCATAGAAGGTCTTATATCCCTCATATTCTCAAACATGCAGTGCACATTACCTTTAATGTACAAACCTAATTAATAGCATTCACGTCAGTGTTTTACTTGTCTCTGTTTGCCTTTTCTTAGATTCTATGGTTGTGTCTCAACAGATACTACACAATTATGTTCACATTCATCATCCTTGGAGTACTTTCCCACTTCTGGATACTTCCTCCTCATGTTCTACGTTGTAACACTGAACAAAACAGCATCAACCTTTAGCCTTTCTGTGGGGTTCAACATGTCTAGCAATCACAAGGAGCTCGCAGCACAAAGAAGTGAAGTGAGCTTTAAGTGAGACTGCTGTGGGACTGACCCTGCAGAGGTCCACCGTTCACCCTCCATGTAGTCGTCGGCTGAGGAATCCCACTGGCAGAGCACTTGATGTGCACGTCTGAGCCGATCATACTGAGCTGACTCTCAGGCTCAAACACCCACTCTGGAGGCTCTGAGAACACACAGTCAGCGTGATGTTATCAGTATAAAGAAGACACTGAGCACTTACAGAGGAGAACACAATCACAGGAATAGTTACGCAATATGTATTATTCAGTAAAAATGAATGCTACATTTACTACCGATTACACACAGAAATGGACCCACAAAAGGCTCTTCCGCTGCCTTCAGCCTCACCACCTGCCACCATGATATAGAGATTATACTATTATGCATTACTTGGAATTATTCTTAACACCGTCTTTCACACACACAACCATGTTTAACATAGCAATCAAAAGAAAGGAAGCTGACAGTGAAAAAAATAACAAAGCTGCTGTTTTAAGGTGTAATCTGTCAGTAAACAATGGGCATGCACCAATAGCTATCATTCATTTAGTGAGCTTTTTCTTTAAAACCAGTATGTAGTTGGATTTCAGATGTTTATGCAATCAGATCTTCATCTTTCAATGATATTTAAAGCTTTTTTTTCCATTTGAGGCTTATTTGAGGAAAATAAGAATAAAACTGTATCAGCCATCAGAGCCTTTTCTTAATCTTTCCTGTACCTGATAACCATTTGGCAGATCCACAATCCGTAAAGTGGGAACAGAGTATAATAACTAAATAAAAACTAGCTCCATTTCCACTAATCATAGAATCTTACTTACAGATTAAAGCATTAGAGTTAGGTGATAATTTGATATACAATAAAAGAAGAATCATACTTTTTCTTAAAGCAGAACTTTTACTTGTGAGGATTTTAACACAATGTATCGTCACAGCAGCTGGTCTTTAAACCCCTTTTTATCAATGATTAGACGAATTTGTCAAACAGAAATAATGAAATCAATGTAGACAAACCAGATGTGACAACATTGCAGTGTGTTGCACTGTACACTGTTTTTACCTTCGACTGTCACGGTGAAGGTATGTTGAACTTCTCCCAGTGGATTCTTTGCCTTGCACATGTACTTCCCACTGTCTTCCAGCTCAGCTCTTGGCACAATCACCAATTTTCCATGATTCTCAAATCTCACTTTACTAGGAAATTTGTGGCCCATTTTCATCCATTCAACCTGTGGAGTTGGACTGACAGAAAATGGGAACAAATGGTGAGCCTAAAAATAGTGACATACTGCCTTTACATGGCTAAAATTAAAGGTCCTGGAAGGGCTAGAGCTTATCCCAGCAGTCATAGGGCAAGAAAGATAGCTAGACCCTGGACTGGTCACCTGTCTGTCACAGGGAAAACACAGACAACCATTCACACCTACAACCAACCAAACTAATTAAGTGTCTTTGGACTGTGCGAGGAAGCCAGAATACCTGAAGAGAATCCATGCAAACACATCCACACCACCATGCTACTCTAACATAGCAATATAACTGCTAATATAGTAACTCTAAAACATTAAGGTAAATTATTACTCACAATCCTTCAGCAATACACTCCAGGTTCAGGTCCTCTCCTTTGACCAGCTGTATCTCTGATTTGCCACCAGGGGGCGTCAGAAGAGACGGTTTTCTTTCCAGAATTGCATTAGCTGAAAAGAACAGAAGACAGAACAGCGTATTCACACACCTTTCTTGTGCATGAAGCAGTTCATACACATGCAGAAATACACTAATATAACTTACCATTTTCAGAACTGTCACTTTTTCCTAAAATCATGACGGATGAGACCAAAAAACAAACACACAAACAAACAAGGAAAAAAAAACACACACACACAATGAACATGTGAAAAATGTGGATGATGCACATCACCAACATCTGAGTCACATCATAAAATCATAGAAACAAAAAGACGCGCACAAACAAAACAGTGTGACACTGGGATGGCTTTTGAAGTGTTTCCTTTCAACAACGGTATCGGCGAATGTGCTGGTAAATGAACAGTGCTCCAAAATCAAAGTACACGTCACGCTGGTTTGAGAGGCAAACAATAATCGAGTGGAGACAAAGAAAACAACGAGACACCTACTTGTCTTGACAATGACAGACATGGCGGTCTTCTGAACGATCGTTCGTATTCTGGGGAAGGAGGCGAAGCAGCAGTAGTCTCTCCTGCTGTCCTTCTCCACTGCGTGGGAGAAGTAAAGGTCTCCGTTCAGGCCCACGGACACCCTCTGATCCTGCTCAATGTGCTGGAGATCTGAGCACAGGAAGACGGTGGCAATGATTCCATGTAGATGTAAACAATCTTTAATTGAACAACTGCTGATTTAAATCCATGTACTTCAGCTTAACCCAGCTAAACGACATTGGAACATAATGAAGTAATTTTCCTAATACTTCACTGAGACAGTTACTAAGACCTTCACAAAAAATATCTGTTTACAGATTGACTAAAAGTTTCTGAAATTTTATGGCTTGGGAATAGTAAAAATCAACTACCATCATCTAATTTGGATCACTTGTTATATGTTTCATAAACACAGCTGCACACAATAATGAATTCCCCTCTCATTTTTAAATAACTGTGGCACAACGAGAATGAATGTTTCACTGTTTTACAAAGACCTAGAAGAATAGTCTTTATTTTGGTCTTCTGTACCTTATTTATCTCTGGTATAAACTTCCAAACTGCCTACGAAGCAGAGAAAGCTCATCACTCTAATAACCCCACCAGCTGAAGCAGTCATTTCTGCACTGATATAATGGATAACACTTCTATAACACTTCTGCCACCACGGCTGTGAAGTGTCTTTATACATGGAAAAAAAATCTTTTAAACTGTTCAAAAACACTCCATACCATAATTTTACTACTGGCTTCTTCCAACTCTTCAGTAAAGCTAAACATAACAAACATTTTACCTGATATATTTCATGTATGTGGGAACGTGAAAATAACGAAGTTCTGTGGCTCTGAAAAGAGAGTCTGCGGTGACTTTCCTTCTGATTAGCATGTGATTCAAAACACATTTTTATAAGCCTAATATATCTTATGAAATTTACCGTCTAAACTATTTTTAATTAACCAAGTTAGAAAGTCAACACAACTGAAAACAAAATAAATTCATAATTATAATAAAGGTCAATCATAAAGGACCAATATGGCAAGGCCATGATGATCCACTTGGTAAAATAAATCTGCTTGGCATCTTTCTTGGCCTTAAGACAACAATTCTGATGGCTAAAGATCCAAATGGGACACAAAAGAAAAAAAAGAAAGAAAAAAAAGAAAGAAAAAAAAGAAAGTCAACACCACACTGTGCACTCATCACAACATGAGATATTACTTACTAATAGTCATCCAGTAGATCTGCAGTGGAGGTATACCGTTAGGTGGGTCACATTTTAAAGTAAATGGCTGGCCTTCTTCTACCACGACAGGATCGAGTGTCTCTTTAGGGAATTTAGGAACATCTGAAAACAAGATAAACTAGAGTTGAAAAAAATAATAAATAGTGTGGTGCAGTTTTTCTTTTCAACAGAAGATGGCAGTAATATCATTCTTGAATTCTACGTGTAGCACGTGTCAGTTTTACCTGTGCTGCGAATCATTCAATAGATTGAATCCTAGTGTGCTCTGTTTATTTATTTATTTATTTATTATCTTCAGTTCTGGCCCTCAGAAACAAAACAGACATCCCTACCGCTATTGTTCATGGCCCTGTCACCAGTGCTGAGCGGTTGAAGCCCAGCCAAATTTAGTCAAAGTCCCCTGTGGAGTGGATTTTCTTGGAGAATTTATGTAGTGTTCTTGGGAACAAAATGAAAAATGAGGCAAAGGAAATGATGGAGAGGCTAGATCACACCCGATGCTTTTTCTGGTGCAGACCTATAGATGAGACGCTGTGAGGGGTGGAGCGCTCGGGAACCTCAATGACTTTCTGCCACGTCCAATACAATGAAAAGCTCACAACAGAGAGGTGCAGTCATTACAGGGAGCTGCTGGCCCTGAATCACTTTGAAAGCTCTGTAACAGAGCACCTCACACACACACATCTGCACGCACACTCAAAGATGCAGGTTACTCACTGGGCACAATGAACTCAATCTCCTTCGATATGGCGATGCCTAGTTTGTTTGAGGCGTAACAGCGATAGGTTCCCTGGTACTCTGTAAGGTTCCCATTATTGGGTATCACAAAGGTCCCAGAATTCTCTTCTTTCATCAGGCGGGGGTCTTGAAAGGGGTCGAATTCCTGGTCATTCTTTGTCCATCTGAATCTACATAAAGAAAGCCAGTGTTAAAATGTCAAGTTTTAAAGCTGAGACTGTAGCACACTCAGTACCCAAAGTTACAAATCAAAGCATCGAAGTGCAACATGTTGATGCTAAAGTGTTGTTTGGTATTTAGTGTCTGTTTGACTGCTAATAACAAGCTCCCGTCCTTTGAAGTACTCACTCTGGCTCGGGATTCCCTTTGGCTTCACAAATCACGGGGAAGCTTTCGTCAAAGGGAAAGGCGATGAGAGTGCTGGGCGACTGAGCTGTGATGGTGGGCAGCTGCTCAACTGGGCAACAAACAGACAGGCAAGCATGAAAATTAAAGAAACAACACAGGCCTCAAGAAAGCTATTAAGAAATGTGTCATACTCATCATGATACTAGGACAGTGGTTCCCAACATTTTAGATTTGTGAATGCCAATTTCCTGAGGAATATGCTTTTGACTTAGCTCAACACATCTTCAATATAGTCTGCTTTTGAGGTTTTAAGAAGTCTGACATGGAAAAGTGCCATCTTGTTGTATTTTGGAAGACAAAAATGACCATATTTCAACAAGTGCTATCAGTCAGTTACAGGCTAATTCTAGCAAGTTTACTTAGCATCCATAAGCTGAATGGATGCAATACACAGTCACAGATACTTGCTAATTAGTGCATGTAACATATTCATAATATAAAATCATATAATACTAGAATTCTACTCAGCAAAATTGGCTGGTCTGTACCTCACAGGAGGTCATAACATTTGTCAAATAATGGGATTAAAATGCTGCAAAAGGCACCAACACCTTAAACATGTTACAACATGGTCCAGTTCAATGACTTTAATTGGTGGATGCCAAGCAGACACTGATCAGTTGTGTGACTGCTGTAACTGTTAATATAAAGATTGAGGCTATCAGTAGAGGCCCAAACCATTTTTGTGTACAAGGCTCCAAACATGGTCTTTAACCCTCTGCGGTCTAACCCAGTAGATGTGCCCACAGTGGGAAGGTGTGTGGGTGAACTGTGGGGGTTGTGGGCAAACACAAACTTATCCCACACTGGTCATAAGCGGGTGTGCCCACACAGAGCCCACAGCAGATTTTCCCTTTGGGGACCTTCTATGGGTTTTATTAGCAAACCCATAGTTGGCTTGCCCAAAAAAAACCCACGTGGGACCCATGTAGGCTAGTTCATGTAGGGCCCACAATAGTTTTACTCCTTGCGGCTCCCAAGACCCCTTATTAAGAATGATTTAGGTCTCTTCCTGATTGCAAACAAAGTATTTAAAACATTATTGCATATTTTAGTTGCCTCGGGTTGGGATTTCGGGTTAGGGTTTTGGTTTTCACCACTTACAAATTAGACCTCAGAGGGTTAATGATCAAACATTGGGCACTGTAGAATGGAAATGTATGGGTTTAACTCATTTCTGTAGCAACCTTCAAATGGCTAACTGAGGAACTGCAGTTTTGGCACTTTCAACTTAGCTTCATTGCTGCTTGGTTGGGAACCACTGCACTACTATGACAATTACATGTCCAAAAACAAAGAAAACAAATGTATCTATTAAGATGACAGTGTGCTAATGCAATGAATCACAATAAAAGCTCTTCATTTAGTCCCTGATGGCCTTGATGATAAAGCAGTGACATGTGGTGTGGATGGAAAAGCACATGCCTAGTCCTAGAAGTGCTAGAAGTGTAAATACCAGTATTATGGAGTCATGACTGATGTCACATGGTATTCAGATCCAACACATATGGCTGTAAGTAAAGCTAGTGCTAAGCTTAATTGAAAGCCAGGAGATGAAAAGGAAAGAGCAGAAGACTTCACTAATACTAGCTACAGTATGGCAGGGTAAACTTACTGTTTATGTGACCTAAAACTATATAATCCATGGCAGCAGGGGGAAATAAACCAGAAACAGTCAGCAGTGTGGGAATAATCCTTTCTTGTCAAGTATTCTCTAAACACAAGCCCTTTGTAACATACACCCGTGTAATGGAAAACACAAGCTAGAATTAAAAAGACTTCTCTGACAATGAGCCCCAAAATGCAGCCGCCTTTTTCACAAAACCTGTTTGAACTGTTCTTTATCAAGGCCTTAAGAGATATTTTTTAACTGAATAATTTAGAGGAAGAGGGTTGATGCGCGTTACCAAGGAAACTGGGATACACGCATACAGCTAACACAAAAGGAAAGAAAAACCTGATTCAAACAAGATAATAACTGTAAATATATTCAATTCACAAAATGCTTGATGATTGTAACAGTTCTCTACAGTGTGATGTATTCCCCTCTAAATTATTCAGTGCCTTTCTTTTTCTGATAAAAAGCACTTCAAGGAGAAGTGCTCTCTGTGGATGAGCACAAACAACAAAACAGCCCTTTATACATTTAACCTTTCTTTCATTCATGAATCGTTTTCTTGGAGTAGCTCTGAATGTGTGTTTATGTGCCAGTCTGTCAGTCTGTTGTCAGAATTCAACCAATTTGTGCAGAACTGTAACTCATCACAGAGAAATTTGGAAACCCCACCATAACTTTTATGATTTATTTGTTTACAGATGAATTTACACGTGAATTACCTCTTGCAGATTTTTTTTATCATTAAAAGAAGATTGCTATTTCAGTCATCATCTCTTCTGGGAGTGTCCTGCGCTTCCACTCACATACTTCGAAAGCAAGCAAGTGCTGGAGCAGAGAGCAGCAGCAAGACCCCCAGACAGAACAGAGCAGATATCAATGTGACACTGATTAAGCCAGACATAACATAAAAGGGGTGGGCATGGGTTGTTAAGTGGCTTGCAGACGCCAAATGATTGTGAAGAAATGAATCAGCAGAGCAATCATCTGATGTAGACTGGCAGAAGTTATCTGATCTGGAATTAGAGCTGAGCTCACTTTTGTGGTGTGCCTGAACTAAAGCTGGAGTTTGGAAACTACATTGTTTTTATTAAACCAGATGTTTTGAGCTTGAAACTAGTGACTGAGACAATAAAGTCATCAGGAAAGATTTCACCTAAGCATTAAATCATAAGTTAGACTGTACTTCCTCAAAGTACACTCTAACTTCTACTTGCAACTACAGGGTTCACCCCCTGCAGGCCATCAGACAGAGGGCAGTTTTAAGACACTTCAGCCCTAGTTTCCCTTTTCAGACCTGGAGGCTGCATTCATCTTTAAACACTCATCAGCCACTTTGTCAGCTGCTACAGTCAGATGGCAGCCACTCCGTGCATTTAGGCATGTAGTCATGGTCAAGTCGACCTGCTGAAGATCAGCCTGAGCATCAGGATGGAGGAGGAAGGTGATTTAAGTTACTTTGAAGGTAGGGTAGCTGCCAGATGGAGTGGTCTGAGTACTTCAGAAACTGCTGATCTACTGGGATTTTTCTGCACTACTATCTCTAGGGTTTAAAGAGAATGGTCCAAAAGAGAGAAAATATCCCTATTTCTGCTACAACATGTGGATGGTAGGATCAGACACAGTTCAGGCTTCTGCTGCTGGTGTAATAATGCGGTTTTCTTGGCACAACTTGAGGCAACTGAGCATCATTTAAACAACACAGCCCACCTGAGTGTTGTTGCCCACCACGTTCATCCCTTTATGACCAGAATGTACCCATCTTCAGATGGCTGCTTCCAGCAGGATAACACACCTTGTCACAAAGCTCAAATCTTCTCAAACTGGTCCCTTGAACATGACACTGAATTCACTGTACTCAAATGGCCTCCACAGTCACCACATGCCAATCTAATAGAGCACCTTTGCAATGTGGTGGAATGAGAGTCACTACATGGATGTGCAGCAGACAAATCTGCAGCAATTGAGGGATATGTGAATATGGACCAAAAAGTGGATCCAACCCAGTGCGAGCAAGATATACCTAATAAAATGTCTGGTTGATGCATATGCACTCTGTCTTCTTTCGCTGCTAATCCTTCACTATCCTTGCACTGAGCATGTGTTGTATTGTTAGATTTTAAATTTCTGAAAACAGCTACTTCCTGCAAATGAAGAGAAAAACAGTGATGCATACCTGGGCAGCTAAGAATTTAGTTAAAGCATTTGTTTTCACATTATTATTTTGACAAGAGCATAGCTGCTTTAATAGAGTCTTTTATTCTTAGACGTTTGGTTTTATTTGCCAAATTTCCGGTATGCATTTCTCTGATAATTCCTGTAATTCCCCCCAAAAAAACCACAGTGGAAATGAGGTTTTTAGGGGATTTTGTCTTCTTCTTTTGTGGTGTTAACAGAATACAAAAATTACATTCCAACTTGAAAGCAGAGTTATGTTGTTAGACATAATGTATCTTTTTATCTGGATAATCCACATGATGTCATGGTTTTTTCAGTAGAGGAGGTTTTCTTTGATACAAAAGAAAAGGCTCTAAGAAAACTCTTTTCTATTTCTTTTGTCATCCCACTGAACCCCCTCCTAAATCATCCTGCATCCTTTGTTGTGAATGTGTGACTTGTGAAAGAGTCATGACTTACCTTCCAGCGGGATGTCAATGGCTGAGGTCGTATGAAAGGCACAAATACAGATAACCACCAACAGCACGGTGGCCAGTCTGGGGCTCCTCAGCAACCTCATAGTGTCGAGATCTCGGACAGTCACAGGAAATTAACGCTCTCCACTTTGTTTTCAGTTCATGACTATGGTGAAGATGCAGTACCTGTAAGGTAGCACAGATGTAGAAGACCCCATGAATCCACCCACGCGCTGGCAGACAGAAAGGCAAAAAACTCCAAACAAAACAAATCCCCCGTGACTCCAAGCCCGACTGCTCTCTGCTCAGCCAGGCATAACCAGGCACACATTTTCATTCCCATCAACGGGGACTCAGTTCTGAACTAGTTCATATTTTGGTGTGACAAAGAGAAGAAATATTCGCATTAAAGCCTCCTATCATCCCATTTCCCCATGGGGCTCAATTGTTTTGTAGTCTGCGGAAGTGTGCGGCACAAAGCATATTTCTCAAGCGACAATGGAAAGAAATAAACAAATGAGGGAGCCTGTGGATTTATTAATGCGTGGCAGATGTTCAGCATTACTTTTGGAAAAAGCCAAGATTGAAATCAACATCAAAATTACCATCAAAGTTTGGCCGATTTAATCATCGTGCTGTTTTGATCTGTGCCTGCATGTTTCTGATAACAATGACTCAAAGAGATTACGAATGCGGACCATTTTATCTTTTATTGCAGCAAATACTGTTGCCTGAGGGGTGGGAGACATAAAAAGCATGCATAGTTAACAGTCAGACTGAGTAAGCTGTCTGCACTTGCACACCGACAGAGCTGCAAGAGGACAGAGTGCTGGATAATTTTCCATCCAATAGACGAGAGTCTGGACCATAATGAGCGCATGATCGGTCCAGAGCAATGTATGGGAATTCTAATGTCTTGGAGCAGTACTATAAGAAACCTCTGGGGTGTCACTTCATTAGTCGTCCCCATGTTGGCTGTGACCCAGCTCAGCAGGTCATGCTGGAGTAATTAGCTCAGCAGCTAACAACAAAACAGAAGACTAATACAGAAACATTAGAGTTTTAGAGAAATCTTAAAGCTGCTGGCATACAGGGAACTCGTGACATTCGTGTAAAACTGAAATGTAGTAAAGAGCATCACAAAGGATAAATCCAGTAATTGCAATTACTGTATTATTAATGTTGCTAAGCAAACCAATTAATGTCAAGGAAAGTATCTGAGTATATGAGCGGCACAGTAACTACCACTCAACCAACTGAGCAGTATCTTTAAAAGAGCTTCCTCTTTACAACAGTGCTCAAATCCAGCTCACTCTTTTCTTAATCTTCTGGCTGCTTTCTCCAGTTCAATAGGCAACACTGAGGTCAAACTCCTGTTCAAGGAGTGTCATTGAATAATTGACCAGAGGAGGGGGAAAAAGAGTCGATTTCATTCATTGGATGCAGGCGTGCTGTCAGATGGATGTGCACTCTGAACTCTTCAACCATACCTCATGGTAATGGTATTAAGTCTGCCTGAACCAATTTGTGCTATGCCCCACCCACAAACAGCATCACCAACAAGGTGCTAGGTGCTGTATGTCACATACATCAACCCACTCGATCACAATTTATGTCTATTGGCTATATTTCCAACTGAAGATTTGTGTGTCAAACTCATCCAAGAAACTGCCTCAGGCTTTTCTTTATTTTAGCCTTCCCACACATGGCGTTTTATGATAATCAAACAGATCCAAATTAAAAGCTAGGGGTTTTGTGCTAATTACCTTGTGCATTGTTGGTAAGCCCCACCTGGTTAAGGAGCGAGGGCCAAGGTTACAATCCCCAGAAGAGAATGTGCTTTCATTGTCTTATTGTGCCGGCCAAAATCCTTTACCAACCTAACAACACCTTCAATGGATTACACTTGGTTCAAACTGTGCCTGATCATTTGCCTTCTGATTTAATTTGTTCCCCCCTCGTTAAACATTTATTGAGAACTCACTTGGCCATCTGGCTGAGGGAGGTCCGCTAAGAGCTTAACTGCTGCGAGTGATGAAGTCTGCATTGAACTCACAGGGTATGGTGCCTATTGGAACTATATGATGCACAGGAGAGAGGGCACCACTCTCTCGCCTGATTTACAGACCGTGGGCTGCTCTTAATCCCCGCCTCTTTCAAGAGCAATCACACCAGCCAGAGATTGATGAAGCTGGCAGAAGGTTAAAAGCTGCTCGCTGTGGGAAGGCCAGTATGAACCCTAACCTTCCTCGGCCAAGGCTCAGACGAGACAGAAGCTCCGCTGTGGAGGGGGGGCAAATGGAGGGAAATGGGCCAAGTGGAATCTGCCTGTGAAACTTTAAGGCTCTCTCCGAGTGACAGATTCAGTGCACTCTTCGATAGACTTCCTCGTTGTCAACAAGACCAAATCATTTTTGATTACTTATCCATTTAATACAAAGGCACTTGTGATAGCATCATTAATGTCTTGCCATTCCCTTACTTTCTCAAATTATGCCATTGATGTATTAGGGCTAAAAAGGGGGGCGGAGGGTGTCCTGTTTTCACATTCTCAAAAAAAAAAGGAAACCACTGTGTTTTCATAATAACACAAGTTAATAATCTTAGTGATTTAGTCAATGGAGAACTTAGAGAAATTAACTTGGGCAGTGGAGAGAGTATTTTCTACTATCTGTTGACATTACATCGACTACAAAAATAAATCAAAGTATAACTGGAACATTAATCAATTAAAAATAAATCAGCCTTTTTTATTAGCAAAGAAAAGTGGGGATAAGGCCTGTGACTTCGAAGTGATCTACTAATTATATTCTTGATTTATATTGTGATGTACAACACAGCAATCAACCATCAACTTGTAAGAGTCTAAATTAAAGTCTACAAATTCCTGAACAACTGTCCACAGCCAAACCCTGCGAGTCTAATTGCTGGTGCCTGGGACTGTGCTTTGTCTCTCTGTGCAGTGCTTGGTGGTAATGTTCCAGGTTATAAATTTAGGTTCCTGTCTTTGTAAGCCCCATTTTTAAACAGTCTGATTCACTGAGCATGCAAACCGGGCCATAAATAGCCACAGTAGCTTCATCCGTTTTATCCCAGACACCTTATTTACCTTATTTCTCCCAGACAGTCCTTTACACTTAAGGTAACCGTGAACCTGAGAGACTCTGCAAAAAGCTCTCGTCTCTCCTTTCTCTTTGAGTACAAGGACGGTTGATTAAACCTTTGTTGTTTTGAGGGAAGTGTTCTATCAGCTCATACTGTGAAAAGAGAAATAGATTTTTTTAGAGATGTGCTTTTCTGTTATATGCTCTAATGTGCTGTGTTCCTTCTTTTTTAATGCCTCTCAGAATTAAATGTAAGACCAACTTCACAACAACAAAAACAGAAAACAAAAACTACATCATTTATTCTGTGTTAGGTTCACCCATTTGCATTTGTTGAGCTAGTTGATGCTTGAGTTTTAAAGGTGTTGTCAGTCACTTTTGCAGTTATTTAATAGAAAAAATAAAAAATATTCATCTTCCTCATCTCAAGTGTCATCTCCCAGTAAAGGCTCTAACACACATGCATAAATGTGCTTATTTATTCCAAATAATACGGTGGTTATTGTATGCAGATTAGACATGTGCTAATATTAACATTGTGCCAGCTAATTGTAGGCTTGAGTGTCCTAAAAATCATATACTCTCTCTGATAAAAAGTTTGATTACACCATCACATTGTAATGGAATATATTAACTGAAACTATTAACTAAGTGTCAGTACAACAATGTTAGATCAAACACACTTACACTAACGCCAGTTAACAGCAGCTAGCAGAAGCAGCGCTTACTGACAGAAATGTTCCTCAACGACTCACCTCAGTATAGCTTTCATCACACGACAGTGAGCTTCACTGGTTTGTATCAGGCTCCTTTCAAAAGGTTTTACAGCCTTGTCCAGAGTAAATAGGTGTGAACACAAACTGAGGTAACAGCTGAAGATGAACGGCAACCAGAGTTATTTGTCCTACAGGATTATGCAGTTGACTATTGACATCTAGTGGGGAGATTTTACATACTCTAAAAAAACACATGTATCCTTGTTCGTGAGCTAATTTAATTTTGCTGATATAGGCTTTCATGTAAAAATGTGTTCACATGTGGGGACTGCGATATTTTCCACTGTACCCAATTTTACACTTCACACAAAATACAGCATACTTCATAAACACCTTGATTGAATTTGTGCTTCTTCACGTCATTGTGAGTACACCCACAGCACGTGTTCTCAGCTAAAATAAATGCACATCATTTTCATCACATTCAAAGATACCAACAGGCTCTTAAGCAGCAGTTTAAGGCTAAGTACCTTCAAGATGCAGAGTGGAGCAGGCAGGGATTTAACTGCTATTTGCCATCATTACTGAAGAAATCATAATGAAAAAAGATTTTACAATTCTGAATCGCTACGTCTAATAAAATCCTAAAATCCTACTGCCCACGTTTTAGCATTTTTAAGACATTTGAAAGACTGACTTACAAATTAACTGTCAGTTCAAATTAAGGCCTTATTTTTACATGAATAAATTCAGTGCCTTTTAACTTCTTGGCGTTGATTCCAAGAGCTTTACTGCTTTTCTTCACACTCTTGTACTGTTTACTGTATCACTACGCAGCCTTTTTACTTAAGGAAACAATTCTGGCACGCCTTCACAGTACAACTGGCAGGATCTGTCTATCGGTTTCTTGACTCCTATAGTTTAGCCATCTGCTCTAGCTTAACACCCAAACTTTAAGCCATAAACATGTACTAACAGATCATATAAAAGGATCAGACAATGTAAGGAAGTATTTCAAGGAAAAATACCACACTAGCAAGTTGTTTCGGGAGCATTCTTCACACTTGCGAACACGTTGTTTGGTAACAGGGTGGGGTCCAAGCAGGGCCATACAAAGTTCACTACAGTAGGCCCTTGAGCTGGCACCATCTGCTCCTTTCACACACAAAGACAACAGGCAGAGAAGTGTGGGTCTACTGTAGTCTAATGTGCAAGCCTGTAATAGGATTAAGCAGATCCTCGTCTTGTCAGACTGGATTAAAATATCCTGCGTGCTAAAGTCCTGCGATGGGAAGACAGCAGCTCCGCACGCCCCTCTCATGGTCTTGATAATGCCTCCACTCTGATTCCCATTTGATCATTCAAGAACAATTAAAACAATGGACCAGCTGATTAACACTAAGCTGCAATTGACTTGCTTTGCTTCTGATGTGTGTAATGAGTTGTTTTTCAGCCATTTTGTTCCTCTTTTCTCCAATCAGTTGCTCATTTGGCATCCGATTCACACACGCTGCCTGGATCAGGGTGGAAAAATAAAACAGTTTTTTTTTAATGTCAAAATTAATTTTCCTGTGTTTAGACATTTTGTCTTTCCCATTTACTCCTCTGAATTTAGATAGGATTCTAACCTTTTGGCAATTATAATCCTTATCAGTAGTTTTCTACAAGCTTGACCATGCAATTCATCTGATATTAAAATATTAGAAAAAAGAAAACAGAAACAAGATGATAAATGGGTATAGGAAGCAATAAGCGATAACATGCCTGACTAATTGAGATCTGGCTTTACAGCACTTCAGAAAGCAAGACTGTTCAATTACCACACCATTAATATTTCAGGGATCTCTAGCCTTCGGATGCTGCGAGCACTGGGAGCGCTGTGGTGACAGGATGAGGATGGAAGAGGCTGTGGATGAGAAATGAGAAGAGATCCTCAGGTGTAAAGGAAATAGAGTGGGTGTACGGATGAGCTGAGGGGTTTGTGACCTCTGTGTTGTGTATGAACTAATGAGGAAAGGCCTTCGTAACCCTGCATGAACTCTCACTACCTGAGAGAGGCAGATATACTACACACTGCAGTGAATCTGCAACTGCAGCAAGACGATCATGAGACCAGCTGGAAGTATGAGCATGTATGTTGTAGTTCATTAAACAAAAGAGAGCATAAACAACTGAAGAGCTCTTCAATCACTAGAAGTTGTCATCTTGTCAGTAATGTCTCTGCTTTATTCTTTATAAATACAAGCACACAACATCTTTCCCTTCAGCAGTGTGTCTCAGTCAAGTCTACGTGTAATATTAAGAAACAGGACTGAAACATGTACAGACAAACCCTCGTCATATATGGTAGCCACTAACTCTTATTTCTTCTCTGAATTATGAGTTTTAATTATCGTCTGTTGCATAATTCATATGCCTAATGAAAACACTTGGATGGATCGCCAAAGCATGTCACATGACATGGTAATAAATCATCCAGGATGTATGTGCCATGCTTTCAGAGTCCTCACTCTGAACCTGTTAATATGTTTAAAGCTAAAGGAAGGTTTGCACTGCACCTGTCTGCATCACAGCTTACAGCTTTTTTCATTTTCTCTCTGATCTGCTCTCTTTGAAGTCCCACAGGAGTGGCCCTTGCCCAGGACAATAATCACATTAGCGTGTGATCCTCACTGAGTAGCCCGGCAAAGAGATGAAATTCACAAGTTGGACTGCGGGCACTGGAGTATTATTTTGTGCTCCACTCCACATTCATTCATGTAGTCTGACTGATGCTGGCAATTTCCCCAGATGAAACTGTGCCACAGCAGGACATGATCGATGGCTCTCATATCCCAAATCCTTACCTCCATCAGACCCTGTGCGCAATTTATTTCTGCCAACAACCAAGAAATTCGGATGTCCCTACAGGTGTTGGGAAAACCTGTTTTTTCCAGAAATATCTTTTTGCACTCGGTCCATTTTCAATCCCTTCAGGTGTCTCATACACATGCAGTCCAAGTGATCATTTCAGCCTGTGAAATGAGAGGCTCTCTGCTTGCTGAAATTCCTCATTTGAATTTCCTGTTTCGTGCTAGAGCTGAGCATCTGGACAGTGTTACCCTGGCTAAGCTTTTTGACACATCTGTCGGATGTGTGGCCCCACTCCCTCGCCCCTCTGTCGCTTATTAGGGTCGAACAGAGTTTATCTTGTGACAAATGGAACGGTGAAAACTACAGTCTAAAGATTTACAGTGTTTAAACACAACAAGGCAAAATCTCAGTGTTTATATTAGCTGCTCTCCAGCTACAAATGCAAATCAAAAAGTAATCTAATCTGTCAGCTATCAACAGCAACTTTCAAACAGCTACATGAGGGATTGGCTAAAACATGTTTCCAGTTGTTTAAAGAAATGCTTCCAGGTTTTTTTTTTACTCAATGTACAAATTCAACAACCTCAAAACATCTAGACATGAAGCAAGACGACAGGAAGCTTCTTCTTTAAAGGGAACAGTTCCAAGCATTCAGTGCAGTTTCATTACAGCCTGCTTTTGGCACACTTCTTTTAAACCACTTAACCGATGAAATCGAGATGCTTCCAAGAACGCTATCTTTGAGTAGATGAGTGGATGAGTACATAAAACTAATGTGAGGTCTGCAGTGATGCACCTTGAGGTCAGCTGAAAAGTCAACACCTTAATTGCTTCGTGCAAGTTTAATGTAAATTTATCTTGGCAAGAAGCAAAGGACAGGAAGAAGAACGAATGTGGATAGAGTCTGGATTTGTTTAGCAAGTTCCTTGGAAATTATCCTGACAGAGTGTACTGCCACTGCATGCTGCTGCTTTAATAATCCATACGTCGGAGAGAAATGTCAAAGAAAAATGGCAATAGCCTAATTACGCTGTCAGTGGTGCTGTGCAGTGTATGTACCCCATACACCTGTTATAAGTTCAAGAATGATGTAAATGCCCATTTGGAGTTTATTTCAAAGCCACAGTGAAAACATTAATTATAACAAGTCATAAAACGGCTGCTTAAAAACAGGGATAGATGAGCACTGACAGAAGGATCGTCTGTTGTAAACATATTAAGCCGCTACCACTGCGAAAACACCTATATGTAGGTGAGCCTTCCACCTTAAGAACATGGACTTGTTAGCCACTGTGGTCTTCATGACCACAACAAGGAGTGACAGTTAATTTACTGAAATCAGTCAAACACTGAGACCGGCCCAGGATTCAGTTGAACGGTGATCCAAATGTACCATCCACGCTGCTCCAAGAGACAAAATAAAGTCCCAGTTCATGCCAAATCATGATGATGTCTCTCTGCCTCTTCTCATCACTGCAGAGTAGATCCAGACTGTCAAAATGCAATCTAGTTTCCAACTGTGAGTCAGACTAAACACACTTAGCGAGGATCTGGAAAGACAGTATGTGTTTGCACACTAATTTGTGAGTGTGTGTGAGAGAGAAAGAGGGAGATGTACTCTTCTAAAGTCAATTTAAGCATCCAAACATTGAGTAAATACGGATATTGTTATTTCTTACAGCTTCTATTTAACAGAATCAAATATATCAATATCTTTGTTGTTCCAGTCAGCAGAGTAAATCCTGAGCATTCTTCTATGAACTGTGAACACCAGAAAAACATGACCTTTAAGGAAAGTCATCCTAATCGCCTTGATTCATTCAGTGGGGTAAAATGACTGTTTTATTCCACATTATTTTTATTTTTACTTTTTATGTCGAGTCTCATAGTCCTATTTTGTTGTTTCATTTAGTCAACATAAGGTCAAGTTAGATTTATAGTAAAAACTACACAGAAACATTGTTACACAATCCTTACAAAGACATAAAGTGCCAAATTCACACATATCTAGACAATACTTTTAATTTGTCACGTAATATGTCTCCAATTACTTAAACTATGGGCACTTAGTTCCATAATAATTATGATAATAATCATTAATGTATTAGACATCTGACTAAATGAGACCACAATTACTTACTCTTTAACATTTCATTTTTCTTGTGACAGTTGTAGCACAACGTAATTAGTCACAGAGAAGATTTGGCATTGGTTTAGTATTTCAAAATCTATTGCATAAAAAACAAGGGAAAATCTTTTGGAAGTAAATGATTGTGACTTATTATTGCAGGGATTGTACTATACAATATAAAGCAACTTTAGGCGACTGTTTGGTGAATTGGTGCTATATAAATAGAACGGAATTGAAATGAAAAGTAACTGTAATGATTGGTTTTCCTCCATACGATACATCGCCTGCTCTTTATCTACAGTGTATTCATCCATCCATCCATTCGCTTCCGCTTATCCTTTTCAGGGTCGCGGGGGGCGCTGGAGCCTATCCCAGCTGTCATAGGGCGAGATTTTAAATTCTAAAATTAAATTAAATTAGATTCTAAATTCTACAGTGTATTATATTTAGAAAACGCAAGAAGGCAACCAAAGGCACCAGCGTCTGTTTTATCCTTTAAATATTTTAAAACGTGAATTAAAAAGCAGTTGTTTTTTCTTTATGGCCTTTGCTTTTGTAGAAGCCTGCACACTGAAAGGCCAGAATATGAACCTGAAAGTGCTGCAACAGCTTTACTGACATCCTTATATTATCTAGGGTACTTACAAGCTTTCACTTGATTTTCGGCACCGGTGCCCATGGGAAGGGTAACAACTCCGTTATAGGTAATAACATTCCCAATAAAAAGAAAGCATGACAGGAAAACTCTGAGTCTGGCAGAAAAAGAAGAACGAAAACACAGAGCGTGCTGAGCCCAGTCCACTGTTGTGTCACAGAAGCCAGTGGTGAACACGTACAGAGCCGCCGCAGTCATACATGTTGCCAAAGCCTCCAGCTTGGCAAATGCACTCATTAAGCCACTGACAATCATTCCCACAAAGCCTGATCTAAAGGCTATTCAGAGGAGAGTTGAGGAATGCAAGTTCCATCTCGCCCCTCCACCTCCCTTCAGCATGAGCAGAGACGTGTGCACCTGAAGGCTCAATAAAATGTGTTAATTTGCAATGGCCAGCTGAAGAACAAAATATGAACAGTAAGCAGGGTGGGAGTGCCGATCACCCGCTGTGTGAAAATCTGTTGAGCTTTGCTCTTGCTCCAATCTTCTTCTGTCAGCCAACGACAATCTACTTATTTGTTAATGCTGCTGAAGATTGTCGCCCAGCATTAGCCATTGTTGGAGCTTTTAAAGCACGCTCCCATGGCTTATCTCCCCACAGTAAGAAGTGGAAAAGCCACTGGTTTCTTTTTTTTTTAATTTGTCTTTAATTCAAGTGGACCTGATTGTTTCACACTGGTGAACAGGAACTTCACGGCCATACAGATAGACTTGAGTGGAGGGTGGGTGACACGTCTGGGGAAATCATAGTGTGCAGAGAGTGCTGAGACTGTTGATAAGAGTCCTCCACCAAACCATTCTCTCTCTCTCTCATAACACATGAAGGGGGAAGGGAGGACTCCCAGTCTGGATGATGTATGGTGTGGACCTTAGTCAAAGACTTGAAAATGAAAGGGGGGAGGAGGGTCATGCTTGAATTATGCTGATGCAGGTCGTAACCACGGTAAAGGCATTGCTGCTTGACAGAACTTGATGACGCTAATGACAAGGTTGTTATCACTCGTGAGGATTGTATACAAGTATAAGGTGGAGCAGATACAGCAGGGGTTGTGCATGTGTATTACTAGTCCAGTGGCCTGCGCTGACCCACCAACCAGACTTTAAGGCCAGGGGATTTTTTTTGTACAGGAAAGCTAGAAACTAGCTAATGTATCTTATTGGCCTGTTGCAATTAAAAAAAGACATAAATAAATAAGAAATAAATTACGCACATGTTAAATGAATGTTATACATAAAGTACTTGGACACAGAAAGAAATGCATGGGTGAATGAGACATGTTGTGTAGAGTGAATAGAATAGAACCAGTCCATTTACCATTCACTTACATCCATTAGTTACTGAATATTTTAGTCCAGAGCATTCTTTGCTTTGTGGCAGAGGTGGCAGAGGTATTTTTTGTTTGGTTGTTTGGTTTTTTTAAAACTAGTTTGAGGTCTTTATTCAGCAAACTGCTTTTAAAATGCAAACCTGATGAAGGAAATGCTTATGCTGGAGCTTGAGATTCAGAACTACCACTTGGAGGGGGGGTTACAGGGGGACACTAGTCTTTTCATAATGAGTGCAGCCAGCCAAAGTCAGTAACTGAGAACACTCACACGCCTTTGCAACGCCAGCTCCAGGCCCTCAGAGCCCCTTAACACTCTTTGAGCTACAACAGGATGGAGCTGCCATTATGGCCACAAAAACAGAGGGAAGCCTTATGAACTTTGCACAAATGCTTAGTGCTCCGGGGCTGGGCAGCTCTGGAAGCTGTGTGAGATGGGTAGGTACCGGGGCGAGCTGCCAGTTCCGAAAAGCTTAGTGTTCATGCACTCGGGCCAGACAAACCTGACATTGTCCCGGGCACTGCCCCGGGGAAAGCCTCTTCCCCTTTCTCTCTGCCGCTCATTCACACTTTGAGCTCAGTTGATTCACTGATTTGGACGGAGGCAAGAAGGCAAACATTTATTCACATTGTGAACCAAGCCGAGGAGAAAGTGTAAGCACATCAGTCACTCAGTAAACTCTCATAAATATAGCTGGCTTATTTTCTGCCTTCACCGTGCTGATGTGTCGCTTGTCAGTCGCTCTCACTTCACAAGGGAGGGACTCATTCACAAATTGAATTTAAAATTAGATAATCCGCTGTTTTCTAGCAGTTAGTGTTTACCACTGCTTTAATCTATGACTCATCTCTTATCTGCTTCAAACAGCAATCGCTAAATGCTATCTGACCAGTACATGATGGAAGACTACAGCCATGTCATGTCTCCAGATTTAAAATGCATCTCTCTTTACATGCTGCCTGATGAGCAAGGTTGAAAGAGAGGAAAGCAGGAACATTTAAAACCAGAACCACATCGCTCCCCCATCAGCTGCTCCGAGAGCAGGAGAAAAATGCAGGTGGTTACACTTACCGTTCATAGCCCCGCTAAAACCTCAAAATGTAGCTATGGGTTTGCAAAGCAGGTGCGTATTGGTACCTAGAAATTACCTTCCAACTGACTGGATATGATAAATGCTGAAGCGCTAAATGGAGTTTTGAAAAAAATGAGTTAAGGCAGAGACATCAATATCCCTGAAGGACAAGCAGATTGCTGAGAAAGCACGAAGACCGATTTGCACTTTTCTCACCATTTGGCAAATGTGCTTGCGTCACACGGAGCGGGACTTTTAATTGAACTTTGGGCCCACAGCCCATTTTACCAAAAACTCGTCTGTTAGTCAGTCTGTCAAAAACGGTCAATAAGCCTCTAACCTGGCACTCCCAGATAGACGCAGGCCAGCCTGCCTTTGGCTGATACCAACTTCTGTATTCTCGGCAGATTCTCTGAATCAATGTGACAGCCAGCGCATCTTTTTGTATGGGTTTTCGTATAGGTTGTCATAGCAACGGGTGCCCCTATCTTCATTCTGATCACTTATGCATTGAAAGTTTTCCTGGGTTGATGCATTGTGTAGCGGCTTACTGCAGCAGGTTACATGCCTCTGTGCTTATCTCAGGTCACAGTCTGGGAATGGCGTCACAAACAAGTTGCGACTCTATTTGAACTCAGCAAGACGCCGTGCATTATTGCCAAAGATGTGACTGGTACTGTTTACGACCTGAGACTGCAAATGGAAAACAGACAAAATTCCAGCAATGAAATTACCCACATTTATTTATTATTCCCCATTATCTGTGGCACTTTAATAGGCCCCACTCAATTATTTCCAGATCTGTGGTGACAGCGGATTTATTTGGAGCGGTGCACTACAGAGACACTGATCAAGAAATATCTTCTTTTTTTTTTTTTTCTTTTTTTTTTAATTGCAGAGGTGGGGCCTCACTTATACTGTGACTTTTGTTGTTTTTTTAATTGCACTACATTTTTTTATATTGTAATAGCTTAAGAAGTGTCTGCAAGCCAGTGATAAGTGGTTCCAGGTCATTCCAGTTAAGTAAAACAGAAAAGTCATACAGCAGGAGATTTAAGGCAGAGCAGAGAGCAGGCCAGAGAGGACAGGAGAGAGAGGGGCAGTACCACACTGTTATCCAGCTCTCTCAGCCAGACTGCCGGCCATCAGAGCATCACAGATGGTGCGCTCTGCGATTATGGCAGTGATCAGGGGATCTCTATTCCTGATTAGCACACCTACTGAACACAATGTGCACAACGTCTGTTCCATCTCTAGCTGCATGAGACAGTAAGAAAGGAAGCACAACAAACAGTGCAAAACATAATGTTCGATATTCTTGAACATTATGTTTCAAGAATATCGAACAGTTTCAATTAATTCAAATAATTAATTAAACAGTCATTAGTATTTGCAGAACAACTTGATTCCGGTGAACCCACGCCTTTTGACAGTGCCTGGAAATAACCATAAATATTTATTGGAGTTGCACAGGTAGATTATTATCTACTGTATCTGTAGTATCAATCCAATATTGGCATTATAGCAAATAAAAACATTCCTGATGCCAGAGGCTGATATTTATCTATTGTGTTATGTCAGTTTTTGATAAGAAAGATTTATTTGATTCACCAGAAGACTAAAAGTAACTATGCAAAGAAAACATTTGTCTGTTATCAGCCAATGTTGATACCAACAGTGTGTATTTCAAAGTCATAACAATCAACATGTTTAACTAATAATACAGTAGGTAGCCCCAAATTAACTGTTGAGCTTATTATATTGGGGCTGGGTGGTTAATTGCATTTTAATTTCAGTTACAAATTTGGCTTCCAGCAATTATGAAAACAAGATAACAGACATAAAATGATTCATTCTTTTCTGTTGCAAAGCACTTGTTTGGTACGCTCTTCTTTACAGCAGTGCACTTTTGCTCCTCCCAAAAAGCCCAAAATATAATTCAGCTGGAGCTACGATGATGAAAGGAGAACCTTTATTCAACAAGATCTATCTAAAAGAAGTCAAAGGTTTCAGTAGGTGACTAAGTGAGAGATTGTTAACAGCTCTGGCTCTGCGCTTCTCTTCAGTGATGTGCAACCAAGGTGTTGGAAACCAAAATGTTTGTTTGCTGTAGGCTCCCCATCGCTTACCCTGCAGATATCATCCAAGTCAAGCTTGCTGTTGTGTCTGCACCCGCAGACATCCTGCAGCTGAGGCAGTGAGCAGTTACACGGTGTGACAAGCTTTATGGTCAAAAACACCCAAAAGTCTGGGCCTATCATCCTACTACATGACCCCATGTCCCTTACATCCAAATCTTTTTTTATCCACGTTTATTTATGGATTTTTTAATAGACCATGGAATTATCCACCCATCCATCTGTTATTTTAAATAGTCTATATGAAAATGTTGAGGAAATTGCCTGTAAAAAGACACATTTGTAAAGTGAAACCTATAATTAATTCAAGCACAACAAAAGCAGACCGAACTCTGGACAAAAGCAGCCAGTCTCTTCTAGATTCCTATCTTCTCTCCTGTAGACAAGTTCAGATGAAGCGCCCACTTGGAACTCAATTTAATCATGTTTCCCCCCACAGAATCAATAAGCTATTTCCTCCCCAGGTCACATTTAGCAATGGAGAAGGCCTCTGTCCCACAACTATGTAGAGTGTGTACACAGCTCACAGAGAATGCAGCGGCAAACAGAAGCCTGAAAATGAATTCATTAAGATAAACGCGGTGTCTCTCAGTGAAATGTGTAGGCATGGTAACCAGGCTTGGATCTGCTTTGAGATACACCCTGGACATAGAGCCTTCCAAACACTTGAAGGTATCAGCACACACACACACACACACACACACACACACACACACACACACACAGTCACACACACACACACACACACACACACACACACACACACCGTGCACAAAATTACACAAGTGCACAGACTAGCCTGAATCAAATCCTCCTCCCAAGAGAGGGTGGATAAGCTGTAATTTAATGGAAAGATCCTGCAGCCAGGAAGTTAAATGAGAAGATGATCATCTCTATCACCAGCAGCCCACCTGTCAGCAGAAACACTCAAAGCACCGGCAATGTCTACTCCTCAAAATTATTATGCCAACAAGTAGGATTAATTATTTCCAGAAAACAGGCTTTTTTCCGCCTATAGTCCTATGACAAGAGAAAGGGGGCAGATAACTTAGTCACATGCCCCTTCATAATAAGCAGCAAGGATCTAATAGCCCTTTAAGGAGTGTCCTGCTGGTCTCCTCTTCATACACACACCTCGGGGTCAGCCCTTCAGGACTGCTGAGGCAGAGCGACCCGTCACGCTACACAGCTAATCCCGCAGTGGAAAATGTCGGTGGGTTCCGTCTCGCATGGACGCGCAGCGAGAGAGAGACGAGGAGGCAGGACCAATATTTGAAACGAATTAAAGATGTGTCTGTGAGGGCTGATGGGGTTTAAAGGGCGAGGCCTCATCCGTGTGTGTTGTTGGACAGACATGCTCGTCAATAGGCCGTCTGCACAACATTTCAAGCCTCATCCTCGCGGCCATTCACAGAGGAGAATAAGGAGCACCACTTCAGTGTGTGTGTGGGCTGACAGTATTGTCTAGATGTTACTTGCCTTAGCAACAGCAGGAAATCCTTGGATATTTATTCGAGATATGTCACCCAAAAGACCACATATTTCTTAGCTTTTTCTTTCTTTTTTCAAACATTTTAGACCACAGGAAGCCTACAGTGGTGGGAAACTAGCATGCCCATTCTTCTCAGAGCCTCTCCTGATAGCCAATTAGCCAACGTCAGGTGAAGTAGCCCACGGGCACAATTCTACCACGGGCACAATTCTACAAAGTACACCAGAAACAGTATTACCATGCAAATATCCCCGCTGGCTCCATTTGATAAATTGTTCTTATCAGTGTCTAATTATACTTTTTTATGCTTTATGTGTTCCAGGCATATCGAGCACAGCACAATAAATAAATCCACGGCCAATAAAAATATCAGGTTTGGGTCCTTGTGTTACCATTTAAGTGCACCGCTGGTAAAGTGGAATGACATCACTGTGGATAAACCCATAGAATAGGAACTGGAAACATAGCACAATGTGTGTACGCAGCAATATCTACCAGACATCAAACAGCCATGACAGATATAGAGTGTGTCTCCAAATCAAGAGCTTAAAGCTCTCAGTGGTTCTAAGAGCTGCTGCCACATGAAAAGGATGCTTGAACAAATGAAACAAATGCCTGTTTCAAACTGAAACATGAGGCACACCCAGAAAGTTATCTTTTCACAACTTGAAAGGACACACGGGGCATTTAAAAAATCCAGTGAAAAGGGCTTTTGGAATTGGTGCCTTTGTCAGGCTAACATCAAAAGCTATGCCTGAAGACAGAATATCCTTTTGTGTTTTTGCGCATGTGGGTGGAGGTCTTCTGTTTGTTGTATTAAAAGTCATACAGAGGAGACTGTGCTGTTTTTTGTTTTGTTTTTTTCTGCACAGGCCTTTACCGTGTTGTAATATTAGGCCAATTTTTAACTCTACAGTTATAAACATTGAAATTTTCCACTAGAATGGCAAAATAAAGATTGCTGGTTTGATTTACTCGCACATCTGTAAGTAAATCAGATGGTCCCACCTGTTTTTTTATATAATTAATAAAAAAAACCTTTATTTTTGCTGAATAAAAAAAACACTGTTTACTCACTATTACACAGAATTGTCCATGTAATTACGTTTTCTTAAGTTAAACTGTAATATAACTTTTTTACTGTATGTCATATAAAGGCAAAAACCTGTATGTATTCTAAAACACTGATACTGATTTTTTTAAACTGTTTAGCCAATAGAAAATAAGGACACATCCATTTTCTCAGTGTTTTGGTTTCGTTTATTTTTTGCTGTTTTTTTACAGAGTGATGCTGAACTTTGTGGGAGCACCATCCGCAGGTCAATCAAAACCTTCATTACATTTTTAAAAGGTAGCTTAAATACAACTTCGGATCAACTACAAAACAAGCTCTATAAGTTTCTATAAAAGTTGAGGTTTTCATAGTTTGCTGGTCTGGAGCATTCAAGTGTGTGTTAGCAAAATGCTAAGCATGAACGACACAGGCAAAGATCTTAAAGAAACAACTGTGGCTGCCTCTCAATTTGGGAAGGGTAATAAAGCTGATGTCCAACCAATGTGAAGTTCCTCATTCTACAGTTAGAAAGATTATTCACAAATGTAAAAATAATGTCAACACAGTTGCCAGCCTTCCCAGGAGTGGACATCCCAGCAAATTCACGTCAAGGTCAGACCATGTAGACTCTACGGTCTTCAGTTAGCATCTTCAAGTTAAAGTTCATCACACAACAGTTAGAAAAAGACTGAAAAAGTATGGACAAGTACATGGTTAGCACTGCTGTCTCTCAGCAAGAAGGTCCTGGCCTTTTCTGTGTGTAGTTAGTGGGGTTAGGTAAATTAGTGACTCTATATTGCCCAGATGTGTGAAAGTGATTGTCAATCACTGGCGACTGCCCAGGGTGTACCCCGCCTGTCCCTCTATGTTAGCTGGGATAAGCTCCAGCCATAATGAGCAGCACCATGAAACCCACACAAAGCATATTAGCACAAACACCTCATACAAACTATCATGCATGGTGGTGGTGGGATGATGATTTGGGCTTGTGTTGCAACTAGAGATGGACCGATCCGTGATTACGTATCGGTCCGATTCTGACTTAAATTACTGGATCGGATATCGGAGAGAAATAAAAAATGTAATCCGATCCATTAAATATCAAAAAAGCACCTCACAAAACTTGCGACACGGCGTAACTCGGCTCATAACCGTAGCACGTCGGAGCAGTATGCATCACGTGATAGAGCGGCTGTGTGTATTTGTAGCCTCGCTACCAAACCAGCATTTCATCTCCGAGGAAGTGATCCCAGAGAGAAGTAAAGCAAGTGTGTAAGTTCATCTCTGAATGTTTGTAAAGCATTCCAGCGTTAAGCTTAACAACCGATATATGGAGCGACTGCCTCTTCTCTCCCCTCCCTCTCCTGCTGCTACTTCAATCATGAAACTGATCAATGATCAGCTGATCGGCTTTTCTGTCCGATCCGTCTCTCTTGTTTGTTTTGGCCCACTTCGCACCAGAAAGAGGAAACCAGCGGCTGAACAACAGCAGCACGTTTAAGCTTGATAAGCTGTTGTTAGAATTTATTTAATATTACTTTCTACACCAGGATCTTTTTCTACGTAGCTGACGGCTGGTAACTGTGCAGGGGCGGATCTAGCAAAGTTTAGCCAGGGGGGCCGATAGGGCATTAACAGGGAAAAGGGGGCACAAAGACATACT